ATTACATCATGTATAGTGAATGATCAACCTCACTCCTTAAAAACCTCTTATTAACAAAAAAAAATGTGTCAAAACATTAGTACCATATTCTTAGTGATTGTTTCAACCTATAGAAGGATCTCTTCAACTTGCACTCAAGGTATTCTTTGCCTTATTGTACAAATCCTTGAAGTTGGTCCATATAGATATCTTCTTATAACTTTTTATGCAAAAGAAACCGTCTTCATATCCATTTGGTGCATTTTTAAGTCCATTGCTGCTCCAATTGCCACAATGGTCTTAATAGAAATGAATTTAGCAATAGATGCATAAGTCTCATTAAAATCAATATCAGCAATTTGTATATATTTTTTGATAATTAATCTTGCTTTGTGCTTCACCATGACATTTATTGTATGTCTTTTAGTCCTAAACACCCACTTACAACTAATACTAGATTGATTTATTAGAAAAAAGTATCAATTTTTATATACTTTTGTCCATAAAAGATTGATATTCTTCCTCCACAGCCTTTTGCTACTTGATAACATCTTAACACTTTATAATATCACACAAAGTCAATGGATTAGCAAGAAGAATAGCATTTGTATGTTCTTTACTTACTTGAGGAAAAATATGGTTCTTCTACCATTTGCCACATGGTCTTTTTTCTCTCAAAAGATATCTCCTTTCAATTAAAGAAGATTCATTTTGTGGCACTCCATGCTCTCTTCCAAGCTTTTCCTTCCTTAGAATTTGTAGTTTTTCATTCAAAGGTTGATACTCCTCCTCATCATCATCATCATCATTATAATCTTCAATATCTTTATTACTGGTCTAAGAAATTTGTAAGGCATTTTTTTTATCTTCTTTACTTCTTCGTCTTCATTCACACCTTTACTATCTTTATTTTCTTTATCTTCTTGTTTCTTTGCTGAATTTGAAGATATATCCATTTTTAGTACCTTAAACTTGTACTTGCTTTGTTTCTCAATAAGTACTTTAAACTCCTTAAACTTCCAAAAGCACTCACTATTGGTTTTAAAAATACAAATCTAAATATTTTTTGAAAAATCATTAATGAAAGTGAGGAAATACTTTGGTCCTCTAATACTTGTGGTCTTTATAGGTCCACCTACATCACAATGGCCAATCTCTAACAAATTTATAGCACATATTACTATACCACTTGGAAATAAGGTTGTTTATTGGTTGCCTTATATGTATCCTTCACATACAAGTTATATTACATTTTGGCTTGTTTTGCCAAGATCTAAGCCATTTATCATAGACTTAAATTTTATTATACTCTTCATGTTCAAATGGCCAAGGCAACTATGTTATATATTCAACTTATCTTGATTTGATGTAAATTTAGTAAATATTGCTACCTCCACTCTGTTGACCTTTTTATACTTGAGGTAGTACAAATTCTCCTCTCTAAAACCCTTAGCTACCATATTTCCATACATTGTTCTCACAAAATACTTGTTCATGTTGAATTGAACCATAAAACCTTGTATTATAAATTTATTCACCAAAAGTAGGTTTTGCTTCATCTTAGGCACATTGAAGACGTTTTTGAATCTAATCTTATTGATTTGTCCATTCACAACCATCTTCGCTATAATAGAATCAATTCTAATGGCTTTGCATATACCTTTATTTGCTAAAATCATATTTGATGTTGAAATAGCCTTATAAGTATCAAATGAATACTTATAAGATGTCATATGCTTGAAACAACCTAAGTCCACAATCCATCTTGACATTGCAGCCATTGAGATGCCATTTGCTACCATGAATGTATAATCTTGTCCTCCAAATTTATCTTGCATACTATTTGCATTCTCCATTTTTATCTTTTTGTCTTTGTAACAATTTCAGGTAAAATGCCATATTTTACTACAAATGAAGCAAATTTTGACATTACCTTATTGGTTTGAATAGTTGTCCTCACCTTGTCATGAATAGAGTACTAAATCATCATTTTGAGGCTCTTTTTCTTTCATCTTGATTATTTCATGGCTAAGTGTTGTTATCATGTAGTCCATTGTAAGTTCTTTCTTCTTGATGGATTCCAAAGCCACAATGATGAAGTTATAGGATTTTGATAAGCTTATAAGTAGAATTATGACAACATCTGCATCTTCTAAGGACTTGTTTATAATTGCAAGCTAGTTTGCAAATACATTAACCTTGTTGATGTGTACTATGAGGTCTTCACCTTCTTCTATCTTACAAGTAAAGAACATCTTCCTTATATAGATGATGTTGGATAAGTTCTTGCTCTCATAGATGTTACAAAGAAACTTCTATGCTTCTGCTAGACCTTTGCAAAAGATAATATGGGAGAAGTTAACTTCATCAATATTGCATGCATTGAATCCAAGAGCCTTCTTTTTATAACACTTGTAGTCCTTCTTTTCCTTCATATCAGCATGCATGCTTGGAAGCTCTTCACTTTCATTTGCAATATCCCAAAGATCCAAAGAAGCCAACAAAAGTTTTATTTTTATCTTCCAATCATAGAAATTTCCATCTTTGAATTTTTCAATTGATCTCAAGCCTTCATCTTCACTTGAAGCCATGTCTAAGGGAGAGATGTATCAAACAAGATGAAGAGAAATAGTCCCAAAGCTCTCCAAATCAGCAAGAAGGTATTGCTATCTACAATCTTAGAATGCCCTCTTTGTAAATAAACTAGTGTTTTCACTCTCAAAACACTTTCAACTTAAGTTCTAGGACTTTTTTCAAGTCCTACAAACTATAAAAATGTCTCAAATGAGATTCTCTACTCTTATATCACTTTTATGCTCACAAATCACATCTAAGTGCCATAAGGGATCTTTTAAGTACCTTAAGTTTTTTCAATATATGAAACTATAAAGTTAGTCTATCAAACATCTAACTCAGTAAGAAAACATGTATAAGTGTTCTATAACATCACCTTAAGATATAAAATATATTCCAAATCTAAAATACACTTTACAATAAATAAAAGCAAATCAAGATATAAATTTAGATTTAGATCTAAATCTAAAAGTTAAAAGATTCTAAATCCTAATATCAACAAAAATAACATGATCTACTCCACCCAACAACAAAGACTTCATATAACTTCAAAATTCACAAATAAGTGTGAATGGATCCATAACCTGATGAAAAAAGAGAAGTTAGAAGCCACAATACTTAGTATGAAGAAGGTTGCATATAAAGAGAAGTCTGGAGTAAGATAACTCTTACTTCCAACACTCTTTACTTATAGCTAAAGTTTACATCTATTATAGATAAACTTCATCTATAAATATTTTCATCCTTCTATGTTACATCCAATTAAATCCTAGATTCTTCTTAACCTAACTACCACCTAAAATCCTAGTTGCTACCATAGTAACTTATTTTAATCCTTTGCTATCTTTTGACTATTAGCAAGTTACTATGGTTTAATTCTATGTCGTGGTAACTATGCAAGATCTTATAGATCTTCAACATTTTTTATCAAATGTCTTAAATATTTATTTTTTAGATTATTAATAGAGATAATTCTATTGACTATGATTCTTTAGACTATATAAATAATATGCCTAATTCATTTCTTATTTTGATTAGAGTGTGATATCACTATTATATTTTTTAATTTATTTCTTAATTTTGATTTTTAATGTTTTAGTTTTCAACAATGCTTATCCTAATTGTCTCTTTGTTATTAAATTATGCATATATTTGAAGCTTGAATTTATTTTTTATATTTTATTATTTTTAATAGAAAATTTTGGCCAAGGTTACTACTTTGAGTTTCTTTGCTTTGATCTAGTCCAAAAAAGACAAGTCCATCCTTCAATGTTTAATCTTTGTATTGTTATAATGCTTTTAAGAATTGACTATTGATTTTACTAAATCAATTATTATATCCAATTTTTGCAAATTAAATATATATACAAATGAATCACTCAAATATATTCAATGGTTTGTAATGAATTTATATTAATATATTTAAATTTTCATGGTTCACTTAAAATTTATCAAAAAAATCTATCAAATATTTACAGATTTCTTTGTTTTTTTCTATTTTATTCTTGTTTGATTTGTTTCATGGTTGTGCATATTATCTTGTTTGTCTAATCTTTTCTAAATCAAGAATAGAAGATTAGTTTTAAATTTGGCAAATACAATAAGAAGCTACTTAAAGAAAAAAATTGTGTTATTTTTTAGATCACTTCTTTAACATGGTTCCAAATAACTTAATGATGTTTTTTTTTCTCTTCTAAGGTGTTACATAAGATTTACACATATCTATCTTATATATGAGAGATATACCAACTATAATATAGTAATTTGAAGTTACTTGTATTGACTTTAGATTATAATCTACATTGTATTTGTTTGATATTGAAAAAAAGATTAGTTGATTTGTGAGTATAATATCTTAGTCCTATCCATATTCTTACTAATCTCAATAAGTTTAGACTTCTTAAATAAAACTTCTTAATTAGGACTTATTTAGGCATACCTTTTGTTTTAGACCTATTAGCATTACTTTCTTTAACCTTCACAATGATCAAATTATTCTAACAAAATGCATTCTAACAAAATGAAGGTGTTGTAGAGAACAATCGTTATTTCATGCACCTTCATTTTTTCAGCTAATTGAGGATGATTTAAATACACTTCTTGTACCCGTTTCATATCTTAGTCATTCTCTTGTGAACCATTTTAATATCCCACTCTAACAAAATATAAATAAATAAATAAATAAATTGCATTATACTGCATATTTTGTACTTCAACAACCTTTCTAGCTGTTTTGAGTAACACTGCAAGCCTCAGGCAGAACCCCACAATGTAACATCAACTAAGACTTAAAAACAGTTACCCGCATGTTAGCTGGAGGAGCCTACGAAAACAAACATTAAGAGTTTATGCTAGATTTAAATCATAACCAACTACAAATTTGCAATTCCAAATCGGGACAAAGACAAATTCAAAGGACGAACAATTCAGACTAAGTGCATTTGCAATCGAGACGAATTTGACTTAGTTTACTACTTTGCATCAAGAGTAATAGAATGAAACGCCGTCTTGAAAGCTAACCAATGGCTCAAATTGTTTGAGCATCTGCTTGATAATCACCCCGACCTGAACTAATAATATCAGGAGCAAAGTAAGGGTGAGAACAAAAATGTGCACAGTTTCGTAAAAAAGTGATTTGTCTTCTGCAACCGACGTCACCGCACCAAGGACTTGTAGCAGAAGCTGGACTAGTTCTATATTCATCTGGTACTTGTGCAACCTCCCTAATGCGATTGACAAACCCAACGTACTTTACAAAGGGAACACTACATATACTATCTGTATACAATCAGCAGAGCAGGTTCCTCCATAGCCTGGGGAAAAACTCAGGCTAAAAGACACATCAAGGGGGACAAGTAATGTTCTCATGCCTATTATACTAACGCTTAAAGGATCCCAAAATTCCCGATCGTCCTCGTCAGAACAATCCTCCCATAAATTCAAACGCGTCCTCTCCAAACTCACCCCCAGAGCCGTCGTCGCTAGAAAATGTACCTCTGTGATCATCTTCACCGTCGGAGAGGAGTTCAAGGACACCCTCCCCGAGACCATCATCACTACCATCGTCATCTGTAGAAAAACTGTCATTATCCCCAGCTTCGTCTCCATCATCATCCTCTTCACTGTTTTCATCATCGTCGTTACTTACGAGATCTATGTCTTCATCTTCATGAATGTCGCCGTCGTCGTCGTCATCCTCGTCATCCTCATCATCTTCTTCTTCCTCTTCCGTCTCTCCACCATCATCTGGGTCTGAATCATCATCGGTCGGACGTCTCCTCCCTACTTCATACAGCTTAGCAAACGAATCCATTTCATCATTACTTTCAACTGCTACTATTGAAATGAAAGAGTCTGTAGGCTCAGTTGCCAGATCAAGGACACGACGATCCACAACTGTGGTGGTAATATCAGAGTAGTCCACTGCATCCATTGTTCTGAAGGCACTGAATAACGGATGCCGCATCCTACGCGGATGAAGTGCGGCCATAATATCATCCGAGTTACGACGTAGTGTTGCATAAATCACATCGCCTGTTGTGTTAAAAGTGATGGAAGTTTGGTCCAGGGAAGGTACACTTCTTAAAAGCTTAAACGAACGCAAATCCCAAACCTCTGAATTGATGATAACCTGTATATAGCACAGAAAATACTAATCATTAGACAGAAAGCTGGGAAACTCTTTCATTATGCAGCATAGGTAGTAAAGACTTGGAGAAATACTTCCTTTCAAAAGCGAAACGCAGCTCTTGTGAGGATATACAAGCACAGAAATGAGACTCATTGAAAACAAAAAAAAAGACAAAGAGAAGAACAGAAGTGGAAAAAAAATAACAAAAATAATACAAAAATGTAAAAATAAAAATAAAAATATAAGACAACTTCGTTGTAAACGGCATGAACTAGACTAGCAGAAAATGTCATAAGATAAACACACCTCATTTCCGGCCGGATGAAAACCACCTCCGCCATAATCAGTGAATTGATCAAACCTATGAATCGCGCGAGGAATCCGATGATCCCATAATACTCCACTCCAAAGGACCAAGATATCATCTGGACTAAAATGAACCATTGGTTGCGTGTGGCTGCGAGGCAGGCCTGATTGACTTGTTAAAGGGTCAGGCAACCTTTGTTCCAATTTATAGCTGCCAACATCGTAAAGCAGGACTTCTTTATGAGCAGATTCCACAGCAATCGCACCAAATCTGCTTCCTGCATGGTTGAACCTGGCAGCTTTGCAGCCATCAAAAGCATGCAAAGCTCCATTGCTAAGATTTGAAGAGTCCCATAATTGCACATCATAACTGGCGGAAGATAATAATAACTGCCCAACTCGTGTGTCATTTCCAACCAGGCAATGTGGAGAAGATTGCATGACTGTGATCGGTGAAGTATGACCCATCAATTGCACCTCCAAGATATTGCCTGTGCTCGTATCAAAGAGTCGAATATCACCAGCATGACTACCCGCAGCGAGACAGGACGCTTCACCTAAGAAGGTGTTTGCAGTGAGAAGAACTGCATCATCACGGCATGTGCGCCATGGACGAAAACGGCTGTACACAAAATGCCGATCTCGTCTCCGTCCATGCATGCCTCCATAAGGTGGAGTAATCTGGCGCGCAGCCAACCTGGCAGCAGTATTCAAAGATGCATCAAGTGCTCTACTTGGTTCTGGGCACACATGTGGGTGAAGGAGGGACAAAGGAGGGAGAGTAGTAATAGGAGCCGGGCACTGGCGATGCTGATGCTTCAAATACTGGACCACAAGTGAGTCAAGTGTTGCATGTTCTGCAGTGTTGGTGCGAGGTTCTAGAAGACTACCTATACAGGGAACAAGTGAGTGGCCTGGAGTGCCGGAATATTGCTTGAAGGGAATGTACGGCGACTGTTGAATATCAAAGGTTGACTCCGATTGCAAGTTAACAGTCTCAGCCTTCTCAGGCAGAACGTGCTGTCCATTGCATGCTTTGACAGGAGTGATATCACTAGTAGAAGGAGCTGGGGTAAATTGTACGGGTGCAGAAATGTCAACAGCAAAATTTGACTTCAGGGGTGCATGCCCTGGGGTGACACAAGGAGATGCTGTGAGAGGATCCGTAAAAGCCATCCGCTTACTTGTTGGGGATAATGGAGGCAGGTCTCTTTCACCACTTTTACGCTTGCATGAAACAGGTGGATTGCGATGTGTTCCGGGTGTTTTGAACATAGCATCTGCATCATCTTTGGACTTCCCACTCGTGAGGGAATAATCCTGTGTATCAAGAAGCCGACTACGACTTTCTTTAACGCCTTGTGACTTCCTCAGTGAAGCTGAAGCTGAAGATGAACACAATTTTCCACTTGAAGTCAAAGAAGTTGAGAATGCTGGCTTCTTGCGGGTAGGAGGAGGCGGCTGAGAACTGCTGGCATCATCCTCATCCTTAGCAGTTCGCTTGGAACCGCCTCCAAGAAATCCACCACTCATTCGTCCCACAGGCCACTGAATCAGTTCTGTGGTTCCTTCAGCAGATGCCAGAGGGAGTACAAGAGAAATCGGAGGTAAAAGGGAGGGCAAAGGTTTCAAATTTGCTTCCTTGAGCAATGCAGCCGCTGCGTTCGGGAGCCCTGATCCAATGAGATGCTCATGAATGAGCTGCAATAACTCCCTGAAATTTTGAAATTTCCGAAGATATCAGAAGGTCCACGGAATAAAATTAAATAAATTTGACATTGAGAAAAGCCAAGGAATAATATGGAACTCCAAAAACAAATAAAGTAGGAATCACTACCTGGAGTGATAACTGATAGGTGTGGCTGCAGCAATGGCAGCTCTTTCAATTCGGCGTAGAGTAGGTGCAGCTGCTTCACTAGCTGCTACAGTGTTTGCGCGCCCTGCATTGGTAACAATCTGCAAATGGCAGCGGAATAGAAATCAATAAAAAGAAAAAAGGAAAAAACCCTACCTTCAAATCGTTCCTCTGATTCCAAGTAATAAATATCGAGCCTATTAATAAATGTAATGACTGCAGCGGATGAACGAATCTACAGAAGGAAATAAACATGGACACTACTTACCGCAATGAGCTCTAACGCCACTCTGCTAAGTTCCGCTTGCCATCTTCCCTGTTCCCCACCAATACCACCTGCACTGGCTTGGCGACCAGCCTGACCACCACCATCTCGCAATAACTCTGAAAGCAACTTCCCCACCTGTACATCCAAAGCCTCCACATTTAACCTCAATGCTACCAACAGAACTAATCGAAAAATAAAATAAAATAATAAGACATATCAATAGATACAGAATGCGAATAGCTGGCAAAACAGTACAGGTCCATGAGAAGAAAAGACATTATGTGAGGAAAAAGAGTGCATGCTTTTCAGAACACAGATATTGAGAACACACCTGCAGTTTAGTAAGAATGTGTGCAATTGTATCGTCTCGAGCCAAGCCCAACAAAACTCGGCAGGACAAGGCTCGAATACAATCCAAGGCAGGAGGAGGAAGAACAGTCCTTGGGTAAAGAAGATGAAGCAAAACTTTAATTCCATTATTAGCCCGTACTGCTTCACGGGCATAACGATAACCTTGTTCCATGTAGGCCGCCAACCCTGACCCTCCTGCACCTGGCCCCAAGGAAATTCGCCGGTCCCCGACAAACCCCGCTCCAAAAGCACCTGGTCCCGGAGCTGCTTGAGTTCCCCCATTTCTATCAATATTGGCTTCTGACCTTACTGTCCAACCCTTACTTTCTAGATTTACCACGGTTCCTGCACCGACTGTTGTTGCTTGAGAAACATTCCCAGTAGGACCCTGGCTTGACTGGGCTTGTTGAGACTGTGCAGGGGTGGTAGGAACTGCCACAGGTCGGCTGCATAGTGAAGGAGGAGGACAGACCAGATTGACCAATACCAGCAGCGCTGTTTGAATCACCTGTACGAACAAAAAAGGATTGATTATTCTTCGATATATTTATGCTGATAATGTACAATTCACAAACCAACACGCCCATAAAGTCCAACATGAGAATCTTCACGAAATTTCATCAGACAAACTTCATATGCAGAGAAACATACTCAGTCAGGAATACTTACCTCCGGATCACAAAAAGCAACTCCACTCACAGCATCAAGAACAACTGCCATAAAAGATCGCTCATTGCTAAGTGTTGAGTCAACTATTAATCTTCGTGTATACGGCACTAGCGTCACAATCTGCAGGACTCCAAGAGAGTGCTGTACTATCTCGTGCAAGTACCTCTCTCCAGGAGCAGCTTGCTGCACAGTGACATCCACATAAAACTTCAAAGTTGATGGAAATATTCTGAAGTGCATAGTATCAACTTAAGCCAGAGTTCCTCAAATAATGCAAAATAATTATATTAATAACTTACAGAAAGATTTAAGACCCAAAAAAAATGAAAAAGCGACGAACTACAGTACATAGCAGAAACAAAATCTTACATTAGGAGGAAAACAGAACAGAAGGTACTGCACATATAAGAGTGCTGGGAAAGAAGTGTAGGTCAAAATCAAATGGATGCAGATAGATCAGAGCACAATCCTATCTAAATAATATCAAGCATCCCTCACGATAAAATACGGTACCTGAGTAAGTTCGAGGAGAACAATGTGACCGTTGTACTGCATAAATGCGTCAAGAGGAGCCCAACGCGACCTAACGAAAGCAGTTCCCAGTTTCCTGTCTCTCTGCAGTTGGACAATAATTGTGTCCATTGCTTCGTTGCTGATGTCCAGAGGCTTATATGTGGCTTTTCCACTAGGGCCATTTCGAGAACCACTCTTATGACCTCTATTAGGCCGTAGCGAGTCAACCAACAATAGCAAATGAGCACGAAAATATTGACGGAGGGCTACACAGGTATGGTAAGCAATCTGCTTCCCAGTCGATGTCAAAACTTCAGCTGATGCTACCGTCCGGTCGCGTGAGCCTGAATGAAGAAAACAGGGTTAAAGATTACAAAGAATTAGCCAGAATTAGGGTACACAAAGATATTCATTCCAACCTTCTCTCAAACGAATAGTAGATAGCAACTATGACCCTTGAGAGTGCTTACAACCAGAAATACATTTGGTGTTATCTTGAATCACCAGAGATGAGACACAAGCGAAAAGATACCCATACGCCTCATTCGAACTCCAAGGGCTATTCCTTAACATGCATTCCGATGCAAATCGACGATCAACACGACGGAAACGAGATCGGTATTGACCAAATTTAAAACAAGCGCGCGCAAACACAGATGTATGTATATATAGTTTTTGAAAACTAAACCTGCCGAAGCTGCACCAGTGCCTGAGTTGCTCGACCCTCCTGATCTCAAAGAAGCTGTGTTCCGCAACAAGTTGACAATTTTACGCAACCCATCCTGAGCATCGAAGGCCTCCAAAATAGCACGGAAAACGAAGGAGGCCCCAAAAAACAAAGCTGCATTGCGTCTCGCTGGATCTTGTGGACAAGATAAAAGGTAAAGTGGGAGAGCGACAACATCTTGAACCACTGGTGCTGGTAAATTGCACACTCGCTCCATTACACCCTGCCACAAAGTTTCTTAAATTTGTTAATATATCACCCTAACCCAAGTTCCAATTTCTAAGGTTTTGGAGGTTGTAACATTTAAGAGAGTGACTAGATTTTCAAGATTCATACCAGAGATGTAACTGCTTAAATTCCCAACCATTGGAAGTAATTATGCACAAAGCATCGCAAATCAAATTAAACATTCTGATCCTGATCACCGGCTCAAACAAGCCAGACACACGAGTGAATAACCAAACAAGATAAGACTTCCTGCCGGACATCAAATTTACACAGAGCACAGAAAAGCCGCTTACCTGTAATGATGCAAGTGCAAATAGGCAAAGAGATATGCCCGTCAGAGTTTGAGACACTCTCGGAGTAGCAAGGAGTTGCTGCACACCACCTCGATCCACAAAAAGAGCTGCAAATTTTCGATGTGCAGCTAGTGCACATATCAACTTCAGAACGTCTGAAAGCATGGCCAACTCTTTCGGATTGTTATCTTTAGGCCGTCGCTGAAGTAGGGCCAGACAAACGTCAACACCTCTCTCATGCAGGACAGGGCCCAACACTTCCAAATACTCTCCCATCTTTTCAAGACACTGTACGCAATACCGTTCCCTCAAAGAAGCTAATGCCTCCATATCCACGGCACTTTGTCCTCTATCTACTGCTTCATTTTCCTGTTTCTTCTTAGACTCGATTACTGCTACTTTCTTAGCTTCTTCCATGGCTATCTCTTTCTTCTCCAACTGCTCTCTGCACAAAGATATTTCGAGAAAGAACATTGTAAATCAGATTACACACCTAAAAGTATATGCTGCTGCAAAAAACCAAAAAGCATGAGCATTCCGATTCAAGAAAAGACAAGCTAAGGCGAGTTATTCTCCCAAACGAAAACCTATGTCCAATTATACGAGTCACAGACTTAACGGAATGTATCCAAACGAGAGAGTTTCATTATACCTAGTGACAGTTGTTGAAAGAGCAGCATCTACAACTGTAAGAGCTGCTTCATTTGCTGCTGCCAATATAGCTTCCGCTTTGTCTGTCGTTGCAAGAACCTGCATGCAATAATAGCCAATAGGTCACTGGGTTGCAGTTGATATTCTATTAATAAAATGGTACAGGAATTCAAAACATATGATTTATTACACCCTACAACAACCAAATATTAGCACTTCCAATGACGTCATAGAGATCAAACAGCGATAAAAGTATTCACATCCTGACCACAAAGGTCGGCCAATCATGACAATACCTCTGTAGCAGCTACCCTGACAAGGTCTGCGGCAGCATCTCCTGCTGCTTTCACAGCTTCCCAGGGAGCGTTTTCTGTCCTTGCTTCTGCTTGAGCTGCTCGCTTAGCCTTTCGCATGGCCAGTGAGATGTCAGCATTGCCAACCATTACACACTGAACCACTTCGCTTTCAGAATCACTATCATCCTTCATCCCATCCCTCGGGGCCTCGGAACCAATTTCTGCCACTGTGCTAGTTTTCTCTGTAGGTAGACCCCTGCTTCTGAAACCAGTGTCTCTGCGAGCTGAAGTCGGAGCTGATAGTTGACCTCTTTCCATTTCTGAAGCACCGTCACCAGACCTCCCTTTTCCTCTTCCTTTCCCGCTTCCTCGATAAAAGTCGCCTCTGCGTTTCGAAGGCTCTGCCCTACCTATCTCTTCAGATTCATCTTCTGGTAGAGGACGAGTACTATTTAACCAATCCGTTGTCCTGGTTTTAGCTTCTCGTCTGTCTTTCCGACGCCTTTTATCTTCGTGATTCCATTCATCACCGTCCTCGTCGGCATCATATGTACATAGACTTAGGTCCGGAGTTCCTTCTAAATTCTCAGTGTCCTCCTGAATACTTTCCTCATTCTCTTTCCTCTTTCCTTTGACATCAAGCACCCTCTCACCACCCCTTTCTACCATTTGTTCGTCAGATACTTTTTCAGAAACGCGAATATCCTCCATTCTTGAAACATCTAAAGATGGCCTAACTCTTCCTCTAGCTTCATCCCTTCCCCTACTTCCACTCACTCCCACATTTGACTTGTTTTCAGTAATTGCTTCTGCCGAGGCATCTCCCAGTACACGAACGCGCAGGTAGTGCATAAGCAGACCTACCATACCCGTCGTGAGTACATCCTCCACTACATCAGACCTGGACAGATAACACACTGGTTATGGTATGTGTTCCTAGCCCTGTATGTACAAAAATAGCTTCATAACAACTATAAGCCGTTGACTAATGGTATACAATAGTTCGATAAAACAGAAGGAACGTTTCGATACGTCAAACTGCAGTTGACAGTGTTCAGCGATTGAAATCTATTAGAATCAAGTAAGATAAAAATAAAAATAAATAAAAAAATAAAAAAAGGCAGTTCATTAATTCATTATCAGCGGCTACTTTTACAGATTACCAGAAACAATTTTCGAGGTATTCTGTTGTACGAGTTTCTTTGATATCAACTTCAAACTGGTCTTCTTTAAATAATAGCCTCAATCTATTTGCACTTGTGTTTGAGAATTAGATTTTAGTTCAGAACATAATATTAATAAAAACAGAACTTTCATACCCTCCAAGAGCTACTGCAAGTAAGCCGGTTGAATAGGTCCTCAATATCTCACGATCGACTGCATCAGCATCCTTGGTACTCTTGCTTCTAGATGCCCTGCTGTTCGCTATGTCTTTAGGTGTGTCCTCAACAACCCATCGTTTGATGCTGGCAAGAACCTCCTCTTCAAACACGTGAGGATACTGCATATGAAACAGAAATAGCACAAAATTCGAAACCGAGTGGTAAGCACATCAAACCATGATATCTCCAGTTTTTTCTAGTAAAAGATACGCAAATAACCCAACCCACAATTACAATTGGACCAATACATATGTAAGACTTGCTTTTTGCAGCATCTGGTCACTTAAACTCCAGACAGTAGTAACATCCGATGGGCGATAGACACCACTACAGCCGTAACCACCACAATGAGGAACTACTGACCATGAAGCTGAAAAGGAATCCACCAAACTACCAGCAATACTTGACTCACTAGGTGGCATGCTGCAAGTGAACACTTACCATCCAGCTAGAGACGATTGCGAGCAGCAGCCTAACTGCAGCTGCACGAATCTTCGTACTATGCACTGGTTCAAGCAACAACCTTGATGACAGCAGCTCAAAGAAATCATCATCCTCCTGAAATTACACACAGCATAACATAAATTATGGAAAGGTCGATTAGTATGCTCAAAATATCATCATGAAAAAGAAACAAACTTGAGATGACCTGTTAAGTGCAAAACCCCGGTAAACCCTAACCAGAACTCGATCCGGCAAAAACTCCAAAAAGCGGATCAGAACCATGATCACTTCACGTGTATCACATTCGATTGGTGTTTCTGTAAAATTTCAGTTCCATGTAAAGCAACTCCATTTAGATGCGACCAACACCCACACGTTTTGTGCGGGCACTGACATTATCCCAAATTTCTTCGCCACTAAGCCTCTATTGTGCCCAATACATGAAAGTAGAGAGCCTGAGGCAAGTTCTGGCAAGTTCCATGATACCATTTCTGGCAAGTTCTTAGAATACGATTAGGAGAACAGGCACACAGCCAGAAAAACTTAGTGAGAGTCGCTGAGAATTTACCCTGATCAAATTCACAAGGCGACCTATCATGTGCGAAGATCGTGAATTGTTGGAATATGGGTTTCCTGTATGCTGTTCATACCTGCAGTTCCACAACGCAAACCCTAAGGATCAAAACGAATTCCTGCAACATAAACTCTTTTTGACCTAGAAATTTACCAGAGACGACAACTTGGTAAGTAAAAAATATGCATAAATGCCCTATAGTATCCTCGCTATCATAAGTAGAGGATTCAGTAGCACGCTTCCTAATTAAAAGGTGAACTACATGCATAAGGTTGAGCACAGAAGCGACATCTGCTGTGGCAACCAATCATTTATGGCGTGGAATTCGCGTAGAAGCTCCAGTATTACTGCAACCGTTCCCCAAATATCTAGAAGACAGGTAATTCCACACCAGGCACTGCAAATAATTTGCTAATGCACTAGAAGGCAGCGAAGTTCAGCGAACTGAGCAGCAACATCGTCCTACACTGAATGATCCTCCCAAACCATGCACCACCTAACCACTAACCCTTTCACCGCTCCACAAACTCTTGCACCCTCACCCTCACCCTCGCGTCGATGAGACTCAACCCCAATACCCATCCCGCAACCTACATCCCTCAAGTCTACCCCACTTCCACCCAGAAAGGCCAAATTGAAACCCAGACCTAGCCTCTTCCTGCTCCAGAATCGCAGCCAACTCATGCAAGAGCGAAGGGTTAGGCGAGGCCCGCTCCACCACGATCCGTCGCATGAGGTTCCTAGCCTTCTGCACCAAATCCTCCCCGGCCGTACCCGTGGTGGCATTGCTCGTACTCGGAACTGCAGATGATTCCCGAAAGACACCACTAATCTCCCCTCCTCCTCCTCCTCCTCCTCCTCCTCCTCCACCACCACCACCACTACCACTCCCATCCACGGACGTGGTGGGCGAAGCTCCCTCCCCCTCCTCCGCCATCCCTCCTGCTACTCCTACAACGAATCCAAACTCTCTACAAACCCCCTCTTCCTCCTCTTCGCCAACACTGAGCGGTTCTACTGACGATGCTGTTCTTTCTGCTCCTTCCGATCCGCCCAAATTGCAGGCGTGCAATCACACGCCGTAATCCTAGTTCGCCCTCCCCTCCCTCTTCCACTTCCAGGTCCTCTTCCGGTTCCGGTTCCGGTTCCTCTTCCCTTTCTTCTTCCCTGCAACAACGACATGGGGAATTCTATACCCTAAGATCCTGGCTCTCCCGAAATCGCGTTGCGTTCTCCGTTTGGCTTCTTCTTCTTCTTCTTCCAGCCGCGCTAGGGCACCTCTCTTTCCATTGACTGACCGACCGACCGACGGAGTATCGTTGGAGCTTCGTTCCCCGCCCAGCCCTGCCCGCTTGAATGTGCATGGCATGACATGGCATGGCATGTACCCCACCCCCATGAATCAATGAATGACCATAAGGGCGCCACGATGTCGTCTATCATTCATCCTTGTATTCATCCATTTTCGTTCATTCGTTTGTTTATTCATTCATTAGTTCGTTTGTCAGTTCGTTCGTTCCCTTGAGTCTTGTTCTCTGTTCGTGAACTTTGGTTCCTCTTTGGGTTTGGGTCTATTTATAGAGGAGTTCTTTTGATGACTGAGCGTTTTATTTAAATTTGGGTTTTGGAGAACTGCCATTTTAGCACACTTAGATGATGACGTGGTTGATAGGAGAACCAGTGCTTTCGTTTTAAATTAAGAGGTGAAGAGTTTTTTTTTTGGCACATTTTATTTGATTTTGAAATACAACTGACACTTGTTCGAACTAGAATAATTTGTTGGGTACCTTGGAGTAATAGCTACCAATCCAGCTTTCATGTATGCATACATATGTTCTCTCCTACATTGTGTCTATTTAAAAATTTGAGAAAATAAAAAATAAAAAATGATGTGGTGTCTACAACGTTTTTAAACAATTTAAAAATTGAAATTTGCAAGAGACGAATATGAGAATGCTCTAAATAGAAAAAATATATTTGGGCTTTGAAATCAATATTGTGAAAGTTTTAGCACTTTGCATGAATAAAGTTAGGGAGTAAGTGAACATAGTGGAGAAAAATAGAAGAATCCAAAAAACCAAACCCAAGTTGGGCCAAGCAAATCGAAATATACACAATTCTTCTTTCATACTTATTTTCAAACTCTTTGCATGAAAAACACCACTTCTAAACAGACTTTATTTTTATTTTTATTTTAGTTTTAGATTTATTTCTATTTCTGTTTTTTTGTTGCTATGATTTGCATTAAGAGCTCTACTTTTACTTTACGTTTCTAAGTAAATTCTAAGTGTGTTCCGTCCTTGGTTTATCTGTTCTTTTTCCTAATTTTCCGAGTCTGACCAATTATATACAAAGACACCTCTTTATAAATAAAAATGAATAAATAAATTCAAAAAGTAAATAAAAAAATTTGTTCAAGAAGACAGAAAAAAAAAATAGAAAACAAAAAACAACAACATCAAAATGATAAACTAATTCAGAAGCAGATGCTTCTAATGGCCAAGATCCTATTTTTATACTATCAACTAGAATTTCAACCTAAAATCAATAACAATACATGTAAAACAAATAGTAAAAAAATCTGCACAGAAAACAAGAGAAAAAAGAAAAAAACACAGAAACAAACAGATGCTATCTCCGCGTTTTCTCTGAACAAATTGAACGCAAGAGTTGGACGATCAGATCCAACGAAGCCATCGCCACAGCACACCCTGCGTCCCCGACTCTCGTGGTCGCAGAACGAGTGGATGGTCACACTATTGCTAGAATCCGAATCATCGTCCTCGCGATACTCATCTATTCAAAGGACTGCAACAACAATGGTGATCACCATCTGTGTATTAGCATGATTTGTTGGAGCCTCCAGCACAGACACGAATATAAGAAGAAGAAGAACCTAGGTGGGTCTTCCTCTTCGTGCAGTTGTAGCCAGGCCGACTCAGTAGAACCTCTTTTCCCCGCGACTCCTGAGAGCGTCTCCGCACCTCGGAGGAGGAGGGCTGAGTGTGCGGTGTCGGCGCCGCCATCGTCACCAGCTCCATCGCCTGAAGACCTGCTGGTGGTCGTTTTGCAATGCTAACTGCATCGCCTCTGGGATGGCGTCAGCATCGCCGCCGCCTGCGAATCCTAAACAACTTCGTGTCTGAGACTAGACTTCGATGTTGGTTGTGAAAAAATTCTTCGTCAATTCTGGGTTTGTGATTCAGACAACTGACTTTCCGCCGACACTCGTGAATCTTCGAGAAATAGAACTAAACCATGCCTTGATTTGTGTGGGTTGCATTCCATGTCTTCATCGAAGATGTGAGTTTTATCAACAGGGGTGTCGTTCTTAGCACATGTTCTTTCTGATTATTTGTCAGGCATTGTAGCAGATATATTTATCATTCACTTGAGAAAGTATCAGCGATCCTAGATTTTTGTGAAATGTTGAAATTGAAGTTTACATTCCGGCATTACTGATTTTTATACTTGTTTTTGTTTTTGTTCGTTTTAAGAATCTATTATAAAAGATCAATTTCGATATATTTAAATTGATGCTTTGTGACATTTATATTTATATATAACATATATACAAACAATTGATAAATTTTATTTTATGTTTATGTATAGGTAATTATTTTGGTTATGTATGTGTGTATATATATATACATACACATGTTTCATAAAATCACCAATGATGATGATACTAAGATGACCAAAAGAGAGTCACAATATAAGATAAATCCATTGAATGTAAAAAGAAAGATGTACAATTACAAAATATTCATTAAGTTAAATTGATTAATTTTTTTTAGAACTTGATTAGTTTGTGAATGATAATAATTTCATTAAAGAAACCCCAAATAAAAAAATAATGCAAATTTGGAACTTAAATACCAATGTTCCACAAAATAGTGGTTTAACAATATAAAAGATTTAACATGGATTCACCTGTATAATCTTACCATTTATTTTATTTTATATATATATATATATATATATATATATATATATTTCTATCAATGGTTAGAGCCTAGAATTCCATGAGAAACTATGAACCTTAAAAAAATGAAAAAAGAAAAGAAAATAATTATAAACATTCTTGGTATACCCAATAATTTACTTTCAAAAAGGGTGTGAAGCCAACTCCAAGACAATTACCGAACCGAAAGAGCACAAGTAGATCTAGGTCTGGCGTTACTCAAAGCTATTCCCCATTCCCTTCCATGGGCACACAAAAAAGAACCAACGTGTTCTCTCCCATTCGAACGTTGAGCCTTCATCGTCCTCATCGCAAGCTACTTCCTGAAGCAAAATTGCTGCAGGACTTGTCAACCAGGTTTAGGGTTTTTCTATAGCAGAGCTTGCTACAAGCCGATCATCGCAATTGGAACCATTCGCCGAGGGTTTAGAGTGAATCAGGGTTTAGAGAGAGTGCATTCGAGTGAATTAGGGTTTAGAGAGAATGCATTCGAGTGAATTAGGGTTTAGAGAGAATGCATTCGAGTGAATTAGGGTTTAGAGAGAATGCATCCGAGTGAATTAGGGTTTAGAGAGAGTGCATTCGAGTGAGTTAGGGTTTAGAGAGAGTGCATTCCACGCCCACTGCTTGATTCGAGGCCACTGTGGGAATCGGACGAGCTAGAAAAGTTGGTTGGGTCTCTCCTGCCATTGTCACGAGCTCTACTGAGCTTGCATTCCACTTGCCTCCCCTGTGATGAGCTTCGTCGCCATATTCTTCCCTCTTCTGCTCATTCACACGATTAGCGTTATAATTCTCTGCATTGTTTGCTTCCGAACTGTGTTCAGACGGTGGTCGATGTTTTGTTCGGAGGAGTATCCATATACTGGCACAGGCGGCGGCTAGAGCAAACAGTGCCACAAAAACCACGATGTATGTCTCATCTCCATCTCCCTCACGAGGTGAGTTGTTCGAGCGGAGCCAGAATTCCCCGGATGGCGATTCTGCCGACGATGGATTCGCCTTTGTGGGTTCTCAGTTTGTGACGTCGGGATACAGAGATTTCCTCCTTAGTATTGGCGGTGGTGCACCGCAGGCCATGGCTCCAACTTCTCGGCACAAGTCAACTAAAATTGTTCGATGGCTGCAAAACTGGTGCCCGAATCACAGGTGTCTCACGAATTGTGTCCCTGACAGCCTCCAATTCAACCCTCAATGCCTGTGTAAAGGCCGTCTCTGTGAGCTATGATCATCTGCATAAGCGTATCACACTCACAGAAACGGCTCGCATGAAGTCCACTCCATGTCCTGTACATCACCGAAACTCCAATTGTTATTTTGTTTCGATTGGGAAGAGAAGCTAATTTATAGAATTTTGAAAAAGACGTCATTAAAGGAGTTTACCTAGTCCAGCGATCTGGATTCCCGATACCAGACTTCAAATGGCCCAGATTCAAAGTGGCTGGGACGAATCTGTGCATATGTTCTCAACATCACAGCATAGTCAACTCATGTGGCACCCAGAGAACGTACAGTTGATTTTGTTGACAAGGACGTCGGAGAATAGAACTGACGTCAACTCAGCATCACTCTTGTACCCATCGCTGGAACTCGCTCAAATCAGCCATATCGATTAAGAGCATTAAATGTAGCCGGCACTCTTCATAATATTTACTGTAGTTTATAGTAAATACCATAGTTATAGTATTTGGAATGTAGTGGAGAGAAACTGTGTAACCAATGCTCTCCATAATATTTATTGTAATCTATAGTGAATACCATAGCTATAGTATTTGGAATGTAGTGGAGAGAAATTGTTTATTCTCTCTCCTTCTTCTTTTATATATGTGACACAATCAGATCAATAGATTTTGTGTAAAGCTCTCTCTTTCCTTAGAAATGCTCTAGTGTGTGTATTACTTACTACTACTCTTGAGTCTTTCTAAACATTCTCAACACGTTATCAGCACAATTTGTTCTTATACACTATTACAATTTTTTTGTTCTAGTCTTGACTCTTCAAGGCTGTTGCTACTCTTGCTCCTTGTGTGATTTTTACTACTTTGATGTGTAACTCATGATCTTGCTGCACTTCTTGCTTGCCCCTCATATCTTAGCTGCTTGCTAGATTGCCTTGCCTTACTTCCTTGCTTAGAGTATTTGCTCTAGCCTTGCCTCCCTATTGTGCCTTGTGCTTGCTACCAAATAGTGCAGTTGAACAAGCGCCACCGCCGTCGCCTATCGCTGCCTATTGCGGACCCTATCGTTGACATTGCTACTACCTACTACGAATCCTACCATTGATACTGCCACTGCCTGCCGCCGACT